TCTGACGTAAAAGTGCATCAAATGCCGCTCATCATATGAAACTTCTTCAAAACGATGCTGCCATTCGTTCAGTCTTATAGATTTCGTAGACGCTGGTAATTCAACGACTAAGGTTAGAAACTAAAAAATTATTGCACTGTCTCTTCTTCAAGCCTTACCTATTCCAGTCAGCCTATCTAGGACAATAACATCAACAACGAAAACGAAGTCCGCTGGAGTCAGACGCTGATAGTTAGGAAGAGCGCCGATGGTACAGAATGGAAACTGATCTTAGGCCTGATTTCCTTTTTGTCGACATAATACTCACTCAGTTCAGTGTTCGGCTAATTTGTGCTTAAACAACACTTTGTTCTATTCTATTAGAAAAAAACCATTTCTCTTACCTCGCGTACGTCACTTGACAACGTAGCAATCTGTTCTGCCCTCCTCGTTAAAAAATACGGGCTTCTTTTTATTATAGTATGAATTGTTTGTGCCGATATGAGGCGCAAGAGAAGGGCCCGCTTAAATATATCAACAGCGCTGCTAACGTTAACGGCTGTGTGCTTCTGACGCCGTCCACGAAGCCGGAACGTCAAGACAGCGAGGCCTCTTTACACCGCGATGATTGTCTCGGTTTCGCAACGGCAAGCGTGCCTATAGTCCTGTTTAGTGGAGGCGACGCCGAGGACGGCAGCTATATATATACTCGACGTCATGTTAACGCACCGACAAGACATTCAATAGACACTTGGCAGAAAGTCTCTCGCTATCGCTGGCTGCTTATCTCATGTGTATAACATCGATATTATACTCACCGACCGCACGCTCTTTCTACCAAATAGGTATCTAACACAATTCGCAACTACTACTAGCTTTTACGGACGGACATAACTTAAATCCTTGGCTAACAGTTTTACTTTTACACGTCAGACTCAAATCTAATACGTCGCTGCGATGTCTATGGACGGTATGTGGTGACCAGCGATCCCTTTTAAAGAATATGAATTTAGAAGCGAAAACGCAACTCGCCGTTTTACGGTACTGTTCAAGTGTGTAAAGGTTAGTTTAGGCAATAAAGGTCCGTATAAACCAGACCTTAGATTGTAATTAGATTTCGCTAACGGGTGTGAGGTGTAGCCTCTCTTACACGTGTATATATATTACACTAACATGTACACTATGAGTATTACAACAGGATCTTGACCGGCTTAAAAATCCGCCTGTATGTGATTCTGGATAAAATATGTTTGAGTTACTACAGGCAAAGCCGGTCTAACTGCCACAGCAGGTGGATTGAGGTACAGTGTGAAGGCTGCCCGATAATCAGCAAAAAGTCCAGCTGCAATTGATAATACATTATCTATGAGAATGTCTGCCATTAGGGAGGAATTGTGTTGCCTGGAGCTATCAGTCATAAAGTATTTCCATCAGACCACGATGCGCATATAATACAACAACAAGCACATTTATAAGATGCTGTAATACGCACAATATAACAAAGCACCTTTACTGCCGTTCTTCTGACTAAAATGGAGACAAATGCACGACTGTCATTTCAGTTCACGCCTTCCTTTTTCGAAGCTTCAGGCTTTTTTTGTTTGGCTTTAGCATCATATGTTAGGGCACTAGCGTCATAAGGCTAGGCCCGGTAAGGTTGTACATAAAGCTTTATATGCTGTGGACTATCTGCCACTGCGATTGGTTTGGAACTTGGCTGCCGAAAGGATGGAAAGTCTGCTAAACACTTTCCACCTTCGATATGCACACGCTTATAGTATGTACTAACGGGATCGGTTATAATATACAGTGAATTTTTCATCTACATATTACAATATGGCCATTGTGTGGTATCTGAACGACGCTCAGACACAACAATGCACGCGACTGTAACTACGTAATGCAGATACTCTATTTTACAATATTATGCCAAGTGGTGGTACGCACTGGACCGTATAATACGGTATTAGGTTCTTTCATTTGTTCACATTTAACGTGAAGCCCTATACCGTGCTTAATGATTTTAAATAAAAAAGTGAAAAATGATTACGTGCGATGACCAGGGCATCGCGCATAAGCCGGCCTGGCCCGGACGAGCATGGTACATTTAGGCTCTATTGTTAGTGTGCGCCGTGCGTCATTTGTGTCTCTGTGAGCCTCTTTTTAAGCGACCGCTCCTACTAACGCCGCTGCTCCACGATTATCCCCCCACTCGCTCTACCATGAACTATTCCCCCATCCTGGCACTAAACCGCGTTTCTCACGTTTTTCCCTTACTCTCTCGCCCTTGCTTCCTCGTGCTGCAGTTCTCCTTTAAGTTTTTCCATAGATGCTGAATTCTCGTCTCGCTGTGCCTGCGCTCCGTCTCTGTTCCCTGTCTCGTTGGTGTTGCTTGCAAGTTTTCTCGTAATGGCCTTTGTCGCAGGCGGCCATCATACCGACTGCTGGGTCCATCGGCTAGGCGAGCTAACTATTCGAATCGTACGCCAAACGCGCGCGCGGACCGGAACCGGAAGCGAATGTGGTGTTGTCTGCTTCCGGAGCATGTCTATGGACGCACTCGGTGCTGCGGCCGTAGCTTGTATGCCGCTTGCCGGCAGGGCCGTGGCCGTCCTCACGCCGGTATCTGCGTCCATCTGAGAGTAAGCGCTAGGAGTTTGCTGCGTAGGGGGCAAAGGAAGGAGGGTGAAAGAATGCTCTCGACAGACAAGGCTAAAATGGTTTCTAGGAACCCGCTTTATTAGCCAAGTTTGCGGCGTGATCTTTCTGTTCTCTGCCTGGTAATAGATGCATGTACAGATGTGTCCATAGATGGAGCGTTTATTCAAGGATTTGTTGCTGGGCTAGGTAGAGCTGAGGTAGACGACAGGGGGTTGTGTTGTAGCGGTTTACGGGTGGTGCCACAGTAGATCCGAACCGATCTGGAAAATACGGACATCTGCGAGGATGTATGTACCGTATATGTGGCATGAGGTAATAATACGCCAGCCTCGTTTGCAACTAAGCGGCATCCGCGCCCTGTCAAAAGGCAACAATGGCTTTCCCGGCTAACTCGGGCCTTTTCTAAACTTTGAAACTCTTCCACCTTATTTCCTTCCTTCGTTCTCTTATACAGCGTCGCCTGTTGGTTCGGTGGCAGCAAACCGATTCTCACGAAGCATAATCATCTCCCGCTGCGTTGTTCGGTGCGGAGTTGAGCACACCGTTGCACCACTGGCTAATATGTGGCATCGAGCGCCCCCGCCTGTAACTACGGCCAAAGCAGGAAAGCCTCCACATGTCTGCGTTTAAAACACCGTTCGAAACCCATCGTTCTGTTCTTCACGATTCGTCCTCGGTTGCTGCCTCCTTTTTCCCATTCAACCTCGAAAAGGTGTCGCCTATCCGCCGACACCATTACCATCATCCTATGGGTAAGACATTATGGGAATTCATTCCAAAGAGGTAAACGGCACGAGGACAGTAAAAAGCAATGATATGGAACGAACAAGAAAGACTGCATCATGCAGGTGACTATGTATGTGCTATTTATCTGCGCAAGAAGAAGCAAACAAGGGATCAAAAGCGCTTTTGAGTACGGTGAAATGCCCAAAGTAGATAGATGTTAAATAGATCGATACCTATCACCGGTAGTAAGTAATGTGGTGGTGCATAGAGCTTCTCCCACTTACGCGCGCTGGCAGCCCGTTAGCACCCCCCAAACGCCTAATAACGTTTCAAGTTTGGGTTCCCTGCGAACATGTGAGAGCGATCTGTCAAGACCGTCATTGGGTGAAATCAATAAAAAAAACATGCGCACTTCTGCGTACACTGGGACAACTAAATACAGTAACTGTCGACGAGCGTAGCATTGACTGCCAACATCCTTAATATAGGCATCTCGTTGGAGGCTACCGATGATGAGGAAGCGATAATCGCGCGCTGCTGTCAGGAAATAGGGCTGTGTACTGGTGAGGAAATGCTCACTTCAGTTCTCAAATGATGGCGATACCGAATGCTGTGCAAAAGCGTCAGTCGAACGCTTGAAGAGAACGGAAAATTGATGCACCCGAAAAATCCAGTTGTTCTGCCGGTCGCCTGGTCGCACTGTTTTTCAAAGACGAAATTGACAGTAGCACACCCATACACCTCAGTGTAATCCTGGCCGTGGACCGACGGCCTCCCCGGGCTCTCTGGTTCCGCCGATGGTAACTCACAAACCTTGACTATCCTTTTACCGGTCGCGCTATGCCACTCGATGCTTACGCTTTTATCTCGAATAGCGCACCTAGCAATAGACACCAACTGGTAATACATATACGTCGTTGCAGCAATGAAGTGTCATGTTTTGCCAAATAAACGCTTACCTGAGTAAAACTTTACAATGTAGAAATAGGACAGTCTATGAGGAAGGACGTAGTGTATCCCAGGTGGAGCAACGTCGGCAGGCATCCCCTTCATTATTCATCGCCGTTGCCCGTCCAGTCACTTACTCCGAACAACAACGCGCTGCACCTGTTTCCTTTTCTAAAGATTCGGAATCGAAGGGCTAAAATGGAAAGAATCTGAAAAGGGGAAGAAAACACGCGCGCGCCGAATGCGTGAGAGACACATGATGCTATGTCTGTGTCACTCAGACATTTGCTTCACATAATCTCCCGTGCTCGGACGCTAGATTCACTTTGGTATAAGTGTGCGAGTCGTTGCAATTTATATTTTACGTCCATGGATATAACATATGTAGGGGATATCTTGCTATATGCAGGTAAATATGTTTGTGTCTGTAAGAGCTATGCGTACGGTACATAATCCGAAATCTCTGATTGTTTACAACGAACAGCCGTCCTTGAATTGTTGCCCGTCGGGGGTGCTGGGAGAATACCGCATGAGTGAGTTGTGTTTACAGCCCTTGCTTGTCATGACTGTTGTCCATCCGTACTGTTTAAACATATAGCAGCCATACGTACATGTCTGCGTACCTGCAAGCACCCATGAACAGCGTGACGTAGTTATTCATCGCCGCATTTTGCATCCATTCCGATTTGCTATCATCATAGTTCCACTATGCATTTTACTTTGCCATGTTTCTCCTCCTTTGTGTTCTATAACGGCAATGCTTTTGTCCATGCAGCTCGTCGTCGTCGTCGTCGTCGTCGTCGTCGTCGTCGTCGTCGTCGTCGTCATCCCCGTTCTTCGTTGACGCGCATGGACACGGAACAGCGGCGGCAGTAGCTGCAGCAGGAGCGCGAACGCAGCGGAAGCGTCTCGGCGTCACCAACATAACATGGCTTATGTACCCTTTGAATACGGTCAACAAACAAGCAGCAGTAGTGATATGAACGGCAGATGAGTTTGTGAATGTTATCAGAAGAGAACGATGACAGGGGGGGGGCCGAGGACGGAGAAAAAGAAGCTTCGATGTTGTTCATATCCGCCAGTTTCGCTGGCAGCTTGCTCAGCGAACGACAGAAGCGGCTGTCTGCAATCGCAGCGTCAGTGGGCCCACGACGCCACTACTAGCGCCGCTTGCGGATGCTCCGTCGCAATTTCCGCTGCGCAACAAGAACAGCAGCAGAACCTGCCTTGTACGAGCCCCCCAGCGCCAAATTCCCCAGCTACGTTACTCCTCCGAACGCCAGTCCCCTCTGTTGCTAGCATTTTCGCAGTTCTTCACTAGCTCCCTTCTTCTCACTTTCTTTCTGTTCTCTCCTCAGCTGTTTGTTCCATGAAACATGGCCACTTCCAACAACAGCTTCATGTTGTGTTATTGTCGTGGGCGTGGTTATTGCCAACGCTGATGTTGACGCTGTCCAGAAATAGGCACAGCCCTCACTGTAGCCAATCCTTGTCCTATTGTAACAATAATAGCTACTGTCATTCGGCCAGTGCACCGAGTGGCTCACAATAGCAGTTATATGTAGCGCAATGAACAGGATAACGGGTACTGTCACCGCTATTGTTATTACCTTATTACAACTAGTCCTGAACTCACTATCATTTAATTTATCCCTGACTTTCATGAGGTACAAAGGCAGTTATCAGCCTTTAACTACAGCGCACTTTTCGGCAGTGGCGGCAGCAGCTACAGATCAGTGCCAGAACCCCGGCATAGCCATCCACATAGGCTGTAATCGTCGTTGAAAGCCTTCCGAGCTTTTTTCTCCTTGTGACCGCCAGATCGCGCAAAAGGAGAGAAAAGGTGCCGGTTGGTATTCGAAACTTTGCGTCGACTAGCGAATATCGCAATGACGAATATAGCAGAGACATTAACAATGATGGAGGTGGCATTTACACGAGAAAAACGCGAGCAGAAATGTTGACAATGGCACTACATAATAGCTGTTGCTATTGCTCCTACGGATGATAATGGTCATGATGGTGGTGGATACAACTATGGTGCAAAACTTTCGAGCCAACCAACTGTTAGGGGTACTTGGGGGCGGTGAGGTGGCAAGGCGGAGTGAGCTAGCAAAAGAAAGCAGTATCTTGCCATTTTTCAAAGCAGCGTGGAAAAAAGCTTGCCCGATTCGCCCACAGTAACGGATTCCGTCCTGACAGCAGATGCTACTAGTTGACTAAACTGGTAGTGTTACCGGGTGAAGGACGTTGTTCACGCGAACAAACTTCACGATACCACCAAACCTGCTGCAGCTCGGGTTATCATAGGGTCATCATTTTTCTTAGCGTCGATTCTTTGCAGTTTTGTCACAGTGGTGCGTTAGCGTTTTGCTGCCTATCGCTCAGTGCTAGACTATTCCGACCAGACTATGGTCACGTTTCGCTGTTGATCGAACGCACGCGTACAAATAGAAGTCGTAAAAACATTAAACGATAGGGAAAGCGATCGCAAACGTACTAGTGTGATAAAAAGAAAAAGTACAAAACCCAATGATTACAGAACTGTGTTTATAAACTTTATGTTCAAACTACCAATAGGTATCAACTAGAACGAAGCATTTATTTAATACACTATAAATGTGATTAAATTTATTGGGTTAGATAACGAGCTAGATAACTACTTGTGTAGCTCGTCCTTAGACCTCTCTCACAGTGTCGTTAGTTTGCTCACCACAGTGATCACTATAAAAAGCCATATTGATCATAGTTATTATAACGTATCAAGTGTACATTTAATTAAAATAGTCCTCTGCGGAAAAGTCACGCAATCCTTAAACGTAGTCATGATACAACGAGCAAGTTAGAATAAACGGCGTCGCCTAATGAGGGAAATCAGTATCGTGCCGTCGTTTTAATAAAATACTATACTTATTAGGCTAACTTTTCAGCCTTAGGCAAAACTTCGAAATTGTGTTCCCTAAACTATTTCGGTCAGTGTTAATGTAACAATGTTACATAGTTGTCGGCAAAAACAGCACTCTGTGACAACATTTTGAGCTCCACCCAATGACATGGAATTCACATGAGAAAATGTGGGTTTCAACAACGTATTGCACGCTATCTAGGTGGTCCAGTCCAATGCAATACAGGAGTTTACCCTCCCACCCCCCGCCCCCCAAAAAAAACCTATGTCCTTATATGGCCGCACGGGTCCGTGCACATGCGCCGACCTGCCCAACCCAGCGTGTCTTAGCTTAAGCCGTTGCGCGATATACATTCTGTGTATAGCAAATGTTCCAACCGGCAACCAAGCCTGGAGATATAAATGGATGATTATTCAATGCGTGACGTGAACAGCGAAACCTGCCAACATTTCTCCACATACACATTTATGCACAGCTTCGCTGTAGAGGCACCGCCTTCTTTAGACACTCCCATTAAACAGATGGACGCTTAATGCGAATATTCCCAATGGCATGTACATGGACCCACTTCGTAATGGGTCCTTGAAGGAGAATTATTATATTTTGCTGCGATCTGTCAGTAAGCATCGCACAACCGGATTCTACAGTCGTCTGCGATCTTGTGAGACGTGTACTTACCTTTGGTTAGGTCCAATAGAAGCTATCAATACCTATTCGCCCTACGATCTTCTGCAGTGGTGGAACTTTATACATTTATATATAAGGCAATGCTTGAGTTAGGTCAAACACCAGCTTGAACTAATTAGAGCGTTAGCTTGGTGGGCTTTCACGATGACTTTTGTGGCGTTGTTTTCATTCGCCCGTACCGACAAAGCCGTTCTTTCCTTTGTGTTGCTCGTTTTGCGTCGGCGGTTGGATCGTTTACGAAAAATTGTTCGTCATGGCGTAAACTCGTCCTCCCTCATAGGTCGACTTACATGGTATCACCTGTCGCTGCTTCAAACTCGTGGCAACAACTTCTACGGCTTCTCAGCTACCACAACTGCTAGAGCGGTCGAAGGTCCTTCCAGTATGGAAGGGCGGCGGTGGTCTCTGGTTACTGCTTTAACTTCAGCTGCTGCAGCTGCCGCTTTTGGAAGATGAGCATGGGTTCAGTGAGACGATGGCCCCCAGGTCGCTCAGCCAACATGTTCAGTCCTGTGTGCGTTTGTCGTTGTTGTCACATCTTCGTTCTTCACTTCTCAAATCTTCTTTCTCCTCCTTTACTTATTCCTATAGAGGGAACTGCGGAGTTTTGCTATGACAGAACGAGACCTGTTTGTGGGACTAGAGGCAAGATCAGCGGGTGCTCCCACTGCTGCTGTTGCTGCCCCTGCTGCTTGTGCTTCGCTCGGAAAGACAAACTTTTCCTTCGTACTTGCTCTTTTAAGAATCTCTCTGTTGTTGTGTGCAGTGGTGGTATTTCTGTTGATGCTCCTGTTATTATTATTGCTAGCTTTATAGACTTTGCTGTTTTCGTTAGCGAAGACAGCGACTGCTCAGCTCACCTTCTGTTATCTTATCTCTTCTGTTTGGCCTTTAACAGCCATCGTCATTCTTGCATTTGCTTTCAAGGACTGTTATTATTATTACATACATGTAATCATGGGCGTGTGTTCAGCTGCATGTTACTGCGCCCAGCGACCACCTCCCTATTTAAGGCATGCATTATACGGGGACGGCATAGTAATGACGGGACAAACGAATAGTGAAAGAGCTGTACTCTAAAGAATTAAAAGGAAGAAGAAATAGCTACGTTTATATAACGTGGTCATGAACGAGAGCATTGGTCTAACAAAATCCATCCGCCTGCCACGGCCTTTAATTCGGAAACATAATGCGGATTATGTGTTTTGAGCTTATACAATGCGCCCGAACGGGCCAAATATATATATATACCTCGTAAATTTCCACTTTATCTACCGACACCCGTTCTGGATTCAGTTAGGTAACAACCAGCAAGCTTTCCTTGTGGCGTACCGGTAGTTGAAAGCTTTGCTTTGTTATCTAAGCTTGTTTCAAGCTGTGCGTTGGAAACATTGACCCACTAAATCTAAGTATGTTGGCACAGAATGTAGTTGTAGGGAAGCGGGTGGCAATGTTTGTTGTTGTTTTGTTCCTTCATAGGTGTGCTGGCGAGTCCTTTTCACCTCTCCCAGCCCATTGCCCAAACACGCACCTGCGCCATCCGTTCAATAGAGATAAGGCCAAATCGGATGAAATCAGTCTGTTAATATACTACCAGGGGGGGATATCACACACACAATTTCAACCACCCAATCCTCTGCCGCTTGATATTGTGGGCATCTGCACCTCTACAGAAATCCACAATCAGCACGATAACACAACAGGATAAAGGATCGTACTATAGTTCCCCTACCTGCTTTTCTTGATGTAGAGCTCTACCCTTCTCAGAGCCAGCGTCACGGAATCTACGACCACTCTCAACCGGTAGTTTCGTTAAAGAGCGACTGAACGTCAGCGTAAAAAGCTCACCAGAACACTAGCGATCGTTTACAAAGGGGCAGTAGCGCACATTACCCCAGTCACGCTCTATCCTCCTTTACCTTCCAGAGTTGTCTGCGTACTCAAAACTAACCACAGCCTCAATCGCAACCATACAGTGAGTGTAAATTTCTATGAAGTGGTGTACAGGTATTTGGTCACTTTGTCTATTATAGTCTCTTGTAAGGGCTAAAGGGCCGGCATTCACTCCGTTCCTTTTCATATGCATCCCGCTTCCCGAATGGGCCCCATCCAGTGTGCGGTAAGCCCACTATCCATTGGGTCGCAATCCCAACTCACAATCTCTTTGTCTGCTCGCTGTTTTCTCTCTTTAAGAGCTTCTATATATACGCCCCAAACAGGGGCGGTATTATATATTTATACGTTACAGAGATCCTGCTGCCCTCATTGACGAATACTTCCACATTCGGCGTTAGTTCAACTGATAAAGTTTGTTTCATCTTTGATCTATTCCTATGTATATGATACAAATGGTGACGAGAATCTGGAGGGTTAGCACGATAAAAAAGACTACCTCAATACAAGTACACATACACAGATGTACAAATGGCAGCCCCTGTAAGCCTTGCATGATCGGATTTGTGTACCCGTATATATATTAATAGGAGAACTGCTCGAAAAGGCCAACAAAGGCCATACATCATACCGACAACGACTGTACTGATATCACGGTTCTAGTAAATCAAAGAGTAGACAAGGCGCAACGCCAGCTCTATACGCCCTCTATATGGCAACGAACGAATGAACGGCGAAATTAGATCAAGAAGCCTGTCAAAGCAACATTACTCGTTTCATTCTCTCGCAAAGTACCCCCCCCCCGCCCATCGTCACAGACAGGAGGGTTTGTCGCGATAAAAGGCGTTTTAATCATTATCATAGGTATCATCATTATCACTTGGTGTAGCAGCAGCAGAGCGACGTCTAATACCAGGACCAACGGGAATATCACCACTGTCGCTATCAGCATGATCATCGCCATCATCATCGATCAGATGGTCGTGTGGCTGCTGAATGAGAGAAACGAATGAATGGAAAAGTGGCAGGGGGAGAATACGCCGGCAGTCGGTTAGGATCGGCGCTTGAATGCGGCGTATATGTCTCGTCCGCCAACCAATCTGCGCAGATGTATGAAGATAAAAGCGGGTCAAACGTGGGTTAGCCGACCGGTATGATTTTAGCCGATTTGCAACAGCAGCAGCCGCCACAACGGTGGTGGTGGCGGCGGCGCAGCGGCATCACCTTTCGAGACCAATGGGATTGTGTGGCAACGTAGGCGGAAGAAAGGCCTCGGCCCTGGGGCTGAGTGGCCATTTTAACAAAGTAACGACCCCAAGGGGCTCGTTGAGTCTTACTGCACCACCGTCAACAACAGCGAGCGGGCAAACGCGTAAGTATCGAGCGATCGTCTGACATCTATCGACAACAAGCAGGCGGGGCGATGCAGTCACTAAGAGCAGTACGGCCATACGATGAACACAAACTTCGCTTTTATCTATAGACACAAATAGGTGAGAAGTTTGTGTGCACAGCAAAAAACTGAAAAGATTAGGACAAGATGACTACTCGAACGTACGGCTGCTGCCTTGCCGTTGCTGTTCTGTTCTCCTTCGAACTGACCGCCTACTCACTCGTTGGCGTGGTCCATTGGCCTTTGTGCCATTGGCAGGACACTGCCGCACAATGGCAGTCTTGGGGATTGAAAGAGAACAAAACTTGTTTTTTGCGTCGGAAAGTGTACTGACTGCCGAAATCTGGAGACGAGAAGAAACGGGGGAGGGGGAACTGGAACGAAGGCGCTCGGAAAAAGTGATATGGAATTTCAGTCGCAGGGTTTGGCCTGGCAACGTTCTACTGGGATAAACGAAAGAAAATGGCTTAGAGAAGTGGTCAAGATTCGTACTCGGGGGAACTGAATGCGCAAGCAGCTATGGTATCGGATTGATGACTGAAATATGCCCCAGTAATCGGAACTAAAGGAAATAGATATTGAATACTGCAATTTATGTTAAATGGTCACTGCAGACATTGACAGGTGGACTTTTTGAAACCAGGAAACAACGTTCAACTGCTAATTTCGGCTGCTCATGCCATGTGCGATTTGCCGCTGTCAATAGGTTACCGAATAGAGTACCCAAAGACCTACGTGTCCTATGAAGTATTTTATTCGAACACAGATTTTCAGAAAACGCATATGAACGGTGAATCACCGTTCCACTGTTTATGATAATAACAGACCTGTCGCAGTCTAAGCTAACAAGCAAATATTACAAAATAATAAAGGATCTACCTGTGCTGTCTGTTATTGATCTGTATGTAAAATGTTTAGTCTATTGGCCATACTGTTAACTTCTATTAACGTATTGTTTATTACTGCTCTTTCAGATGTGATGTAATCTATAAACATCACCATCAGCATGAGGGCTATCGTAAGTAACCATTAGATATAGGTCTTCGTGTACATCTCGAGCTGGACGCATATGATTTAAGTAACTGTACTGTTGTACGGAACTCTTTGCTAGCCTTTCGTGGGCTAGATAGTTAATTCTGTTGCAGATACTATCGCTAAGTGAAATCCTTTCGGCATGTTGCATTTCTATACCTTTTTTATGCACAGCTATTGATTTAACACCGAAAAACTTGAACGAGTTCCATGTTGAGAGAGCTACTTTCAATCGGTTTTGGTCCCTCTAATAAATGATTAGTAAGTCAAGTTCTATCAGTTGTTATGATAACGCGCTAATAATTTATGTAAGCTGCATAGAAGATTAAACATCTTGTTCACTATAAGAACGCTATTGTTAGTTATAAAGTCACTCTATGTTGAAATCGAACGTGTTCTTATGCGTTGCGCACGCACAACATCCCATTTCTCCCTTCCAGCCAGTGCACACGTGCACACTGCATGCAAGGGAGAAAGGCTACATTGCAATCCATTCGAAAGTCGCTAGCGACAATGAGAGAGCACGATTTTTGTATCTCTAAAGTATCAAAGCTGCTGGCCTTCGTTTGCAGTACCTTGATTTCATATTGTTTTGACCGGCCTCATTATCGTCTTCGCCATGTTGTAAATGTATCTACTGCTTTAACTAGGCTCTACCAGTGCGTCAGGTAAAAGCGCTCGTCGCGTCTACGTTTCGATATATGTTGCACCTTTCTAGAGGTTCGGCCTTCTTTACGTCTGGCTTCTCTGAAATTGTTCCTGCGCAATTTCCAGGATTAATCAAGCAACATGAGCGCAAACTGAAATTCGTGGTTATAACGGCTCGATAACGAACGAAAGCCTGAATTTGTGTCGCAGAAGCTATAAGTGCTACTAGAGTAGACGCGGTGCTACGGTTGTAACGCGGAATGTCTGCAAAGCAAATTTCTTATTATTATTATTATTATTATTATTATTACCGATCAATTTTCAAAGCATTCTAAATAAACCTGATAGACAAATGATGAAATCAAATGACGTCTTAGATACATCGAGTCATTAAAAAATAACGTTAGACTACCGCAGGGGCATATTCATGTCGTAATTGTATATTTATTGTTAATCTACGCATGTTTTATATACAGCCATTAATGTAACAGAAAGGTCATCCTTTCACGGCAATAGTTTATTTGTTTGCACCGCAAATATTTACTGGTCATAGCGTTTTTTAGTGTTATTTACTGGTTGCGTGTCTTAGTGTCTGTTAATTCCGGGTCGATGATTGTCTAACGCCGCCTTTTCCCCTATACGATTTCACAGTTGATGTCTCGGTGGCGTCCTCCCGATGGTTTCCCGGTGGACGTCTGCCGGCCTCTGGCGCAACGACGATGGCAGCTCATTGTACTCTTCACAACTATTTTAGGGATAGCCTCATCGGCCTCCAATTCGCCTTTAAAACTACCGTGTCCGCCGTATACTCAGGTATCTATTTTCCGCTCGGCAGGCGTAATAATAACATATCTGAGACTAGAGAATCTGAAATTTATCGTTTTTTAAAATGCTGTAGTCTGGTTGATAATTGTGCTGGTCGTTTATGACCTTACAATAATTGTTTCGTAGATGTCCATTCTGGTTTAGCGTGGTTCCTTAGCTCAATGTAAGTTCCTTTACGATAGTGTCTAACAAAATAGATCGACTTGTGCTTATACACTGTATTTCATGTGTCCCGGTGGACCTACCAGGACGGCGATATCGTCGTTGACTGTTCGGATCAAGAGTTTGACTATGTTCCACATGTATTAAATCCTGGCTTGGTTCAACTTAAGTTGGTAAACTCACGTATCAAATCAGTTTCTAACATTGACGTCTACGTGAGGTAAGTGAGAATTTGTACAACTTACACGAAATTTAAAACTTAAAAAATATACATATACGAATTAAATAGTGACATAAAGAAAAAAAACTGTACAAATTTATACTTTTTCAGAATGCGCCATTTGGACCTAACGCGGAACTTCTTGACAGCGCTTGGAGAGCCACTCTCTAATTTGCATAATCTCAGCGTCGTAATTGTACGAGAGAACAAATTCACATCTTTACGGAGGAGCGATTTGGCCGGTTTGAGGTAAATGAATTTTCTATTCATGGCGTTTTGGATCTAGCGCAGGTAAAGCATCAAACTACATAATGAGATCTTTAAAATGGCCCACGTACACAATAGATAATAATTCGATATCTATTATTCCACTGTTAAGGTCCTTGACGAGGCTCGACATCGCTAAAAACCATATCACCAGTATTGAGAAGCAGACGTTCATCAACTCGTCACTGGTAGAACTCGATCTTTCGGAAAACAGCCTTAGCGAATTGAGCCAAGGATCACTACAGGTAATACTAGAATTTGGGTTGACAAAAGTGATTAGTCGTATTTACTTATATATCCGAAATCAGGTGCCAGAGAAACAAAATACTAAAAAAAAACCCAATAAAATTCGTAATCTCGAATGGGTTTTCTAAACCTATGCGTTATTACAGTTGTCAATCTCAGATAGTACCAACATGACAATTCAATGGTTCCCTGCAACGGTGATTTTCAAATCATTGATTCGCTCTATTGTAGCAATCCGAGAAAATCCGAAACACTTCAAGACGTAAACTTTCATGATCGCTCTTTAAAGCGAAGTCCATTTGGCTTGTTCAAAATTTGCTCCATGGCCATGAAGAGGCCTGGATCTATCTTCGTATAGGCTGACTTATACTGTGGCCGACCGTTCCGTTGCCCACAGAAAAGAGTAGCCCAAAGGAAAAGAATTCTAGTGCACTTAATACGCCGACGAAGAAATATCATGGCGACTTCTCATGCGGTGGTGCCGTTCTACTTTCTAACTTCGTGTCTCTATGTCGGTATAGATGTTTGACTTCGACCCACACCGAACCAGATGTTACCGGCCTTTACCAATAATATTAACGAGAATGCAGACTTGTTAAAATCTTCATCTACAGCGGACTCGTAATCATATTCATGTGCCTAGTTACCCGTTATATTTATCATTAAACAGCTTGCGGTGATGGAAACCAGTTTGTACGATGTCATAATTCATTTGTTTGCAGGGACTCACGAAACTGCAACGGCTCAATCTGAAGGACAACAAATTTATCACGGTTCCAACCTCATTGACAAAACTTCGGCTACTTAATTATCTTGACCTGTCTTTTAATAGCTTTGGAGATATTCCGGCCGGAGTGCTACCTGACGTGAAGACCCTGCGTCTTGAACGGTTCGTACCAAGCTGCCGACGGTCAAACTATTCTAAGTAAACTTGACAATTCTCTAGATGGCAATAATGTATGATAATTTCTGATTTGAAATTGGCTTACGGGAACTAGCTGAAGCTCGTCATTGGCGATAGAACAGTCTATAAATTTTTCTCTCGTACTTCTACGAGATAATCGTATCACTTAAATTACTAGTAATCTAACGAAGATAAAAATTGAAATACTTTGCAGTTGGCTTCTTGATCTACGACTACTACTCTGAATACTACGGTTCATATATATATATATATGCACATAGATGAGTGAACAGAGTCAATGCTCCCGACCCTCATAGTATATTACGGGTTACGTACATTTTAACGTATCAGCAAAATGATGATCTAAAAAAATGATCTACGTGCTCCGTTACATTCGAACGTTTCAGTTGCGACCTGTCAAATACGTCATTCCTTTATAATTCATCCGCGACGTTCTTAGACATCTCGTCGAACCGCTTCTCCACAATTCCGCGTCCTCTACCGGCTAAACTTGAAACACTCATTTTTGACGCCAATCCGATTCAAATACTTACTGCCAGAAGGTAACTGATCAGCTGAAATAGAGCCCTATTTATGTTATTAATTGATTCCTATAAGTACACAGCGAAGAAGGCACAAACAACGGAGTCTCAAAAAGCTTTACGGGACAACTATACTAGAATGTGCGTGTAGGAGGAATCGTTCGACACTGTATTCATAGATGGATCTGTACCTTTAGGTGCACAGCCGTTTGAAAAACGCGCCAATATTCGAAGTACCTTACCAAGACCGTTTTCTCAATGGTTTGCTATGTCTTTCTACAGCTTATCACATGTACCAAATTTGAGCAACTTGTCCATATCCTCATCTCAAGAACTTCGTTCGATTCACGCCGATACATTTGCGGGCAATAGCGACATCCGCGAAATTCGACTTGAGTCAAATGTGAATTTGAAGGTTCTAGACTCGAAAATGTTCCGCAGTCTGGGAAAACTGCAAATAATTTCTTTTCGAGAGAGCGGCCTCCGTAGCATTGATGCAGGCTTCATGTCCTGGTATCTTCTCAAGCGCGTCGACTTTCGCGATAATCCTTTCAAGTAAGTGCCACTATCTACATGCATAGTTTAAGCGAAACTAAATAAATTGACCTTGAACATTTAGCCAAAAATCGTCTGCTACTACTTTTTCTTTAGGCGTTAATGTTTGCAACGGCAAAAACTGTTTCAATATTTCAGATGCGACTGTTCGCTGAGCTGGCTTCGTGATCTGACGATAGAGTACCTTAACTCTACAGGCAAACCAGCAAACGAAAGGCCTGGTCCGCTTGACAATGAGACCATACATATCAGCTGTGCTGAGCCTACGAAGTTTACAGGTGAACCTCGTTCATAGCGGTAATAATCCTAGTAATTAGTATCATAACACAGTATCTATATAGTATAAATTAGTATCATAACGGTCAGTTACATATATATCATGTCCTAGTTTGGTTCACGTTAACTTCGAGACTATAAATTTCCGGCGGCTGATTCTGTTCGATCTATTTTCGATGTTTTAACACTTGAAGGTCGTAAGCTTTATGAGCTGCCAGCGATAGCCTTCGAGTGCGGAATGTCGTCACTCTTCCTTTCAGTCATTGTTCCATTGGTGATACTAGCCTTATTAGTATCAGTTGGCATCATCACATTCTTGTACTGGAGGCATCATCGTCTTCCCGCTTGGCTGCCGTGTCTGCGTAGCAAGGACAAAACTGCGCCCGTACACAATGGCAGTACAAAACATCAGTACTTGGAGAAGACATATATGGTGCCAGGCGACGATTATGATGGTTCGTAGGGTTGTATCTTATATATACACACACTCGAATTAAGTGCTACGTCGTAGCATGGTCTATGAATGCCTTTTATTGGGTACAACTCGGCTCTAATGATATCGAGCGACTCGTGTTGAAGCCAGCTCCTAATACTGAGACAAGAGTAATCGCCTAAAAATACTTTTTAGAACTTGAATAAAGCTGTCTATTAGCTATCTGTGAGTGTTAACTTCTGCCGAGGATTATATAGTACTTCCATGATTCTTTCCTTTGGCGAATAGATTTTTAAAAAATTTTGCCATTGCTACTTGACCAGGTCAACAAACGGCCAGCTCGAACTATGTCGTTCTACTCATGCAGGCCTTGTGAACATATGCATGTGAAGGATACACGATATATCAATCGTATAGAGCACTTAGTGCACTAATTAATCCTTTCTTTTAAGAACTTTTTCCTTCTTAAAGTATGAAGTCCTTAAAGTATTGTTCGCATTTCCAATATATGTGCACTTATAGTGTTTGAATTCGTAGAAATTATTTTTGCATGATTGTTTCATTGCAGGCATTTACCATCTTCAACGCAATGCTCCGGTTCGATTGATACCCGTTACAGAGTTGTGACCCGAGGACTCTCGGAGATCAATAACATCTGCCGTCTCCACTCTTAGCCCGCAAAGCAGCCAGCAAGACGTTCACCAACACGCCATGGGGTCAACCTTTGCTAACTTGGATGCAAATTATTCAACCACGTTGCGTCCGCGTATCTCCACACTCGATACACATGATGCACCTATATTGGGTGGCCACGTATCGTCATTCGAAAACCACCGTATGAGCACTACAATAGGTGGTCAGCGTGCACCTCTGAGCAGACTGCCAAGACCATTTGGACGACCGCACGTGTTTCCGTCACGTTCGTCTGCTCTTCCTGATGACGCTGGTCAACGACATCAGATCACGATAGTAAATTCAGGTCAACTAGCAGTTAGAGCTGCCGTCACTCCGGGTTCATTGTGCCCACTACGAGGTGTACCCTTAACACCCCGGTTTGGAAATAAGCAGTATCATCAACTTACTGATTCAACGACAGCGAGTGTCGAGTCCAAACCATCACCGTGTCATCTTGGCACTAGCAGAAATCCCATGGGATCAAATGTTTACGATCAAACTGAGGAGGCAATATATGAGCAGACTGGCGATTTTGGTGAAAGTGCGTACAATGATCACAACAGTGTGCAGCACGCTTATGTCACGCTTAGCCCCCAACAGCAGCATCAGCAACAGCAGCAGCAGCAGCAGCAGCAGCAGCAGCAGCAGCAGCAACAAGACACGCACATGTACTCGACCTTAAAGCACTCGCTGTCTAGTGGGGGCGAATCAGCCTCTACGCCACTTACTTCACTCTCATCACTATCCACATATGAGCGAGCACCCTATTGTTACGTGTTCGAGTAAAACAAAAGGTAAAGCTCGGCTTGTGCCTTCCTATTAGACGACGAAAGCAATACACGGTAACCATACAGTCACCATGTGGCCCGTTTCAAAATGGTCAGCTGCTGTCCGTACGTCTGAGACAGCATTAAGCACATAAAACCATCTCTATATGCTAAGATGACGTAGTACTGCGGTAGATCAAAATCGCCACCTATACTGCAACACAAGTGCTGGAGGGTTCGCAAGCAAACAAACCGCTAGTTAGATGTTAACTTGCGCCTTTAGTACTGCCTCACTGAACGATTAGGAGGGAAAGGAGGGCATCATCGCTCGGTCTACTGCGGGCTTTGATGGAAAGGCGGCATTTGTCGCTTAGAACGAGACGGCCAAAGATAAGATGGTTTTTGGTAAAGTTATGTGCGGGTTTTGTTTTAAATAATAAAGGAAACGCATCGCTTTGCTACCAGATTTTTGCCTGATGTACGCTACGATGTATAACGTCCAGACTAAGTTCGATTTCTTAACGGAGACGAAGCTTATGTAAACGTTATTCGGATCGTGGCACAGTTAAACACTACGACTAATTGACGGTCACAATTTTGTCTATCATTAAGGACACCAGAAGTTAATGGGGCATACGGATAGAAATTCGACAAAAGTGTTTGATTATAATTTGGTTGTGGTAGTCGACAACTACTAAGTTACGAGATTGGACAAAGTCGGCGTCGGAACGAACTTCCCACTCGCACAAAACCAAAGAACAAGTCAACAAGTTACCTGCACTGATATGAACGTTGACTATCCTACTTATTTTTCTTTGCAGTCTTGGACAAAGAATGAGCTCTGTGTTGTCACCTATCAGGCTTATTCTTTTGCCCTTTCAGTGTTGTTAACTGTAGTTTTGCCGCATGGACCCACCATAGCAAAGTTGTCCTTTTCTGAATGCTTTCCATAAGCTACTTGATAATATACAATAACACTTGATAATAATTATTATATAATTATAAACAGTACTAGTTTATGTCAAGGGCATCTAAGAAGCTGGCTATTTGCTTTTTGTCAATTTGTCGGACATGAAATAATGATGACAGTTTACTATTATGATACATCAGGCATGATAATAGTAGCGTTCTTAGTAATTTGATGAAAAACTACATTCTCGAAAGTCAATCATAAAATGGGCATTGTAATTTTTTATGGCCGTCGGATAGAGAGGCATTGGGAGTCTGTCGTAACTCTGCACAACTCCGCAATGGGAATGTCAACTGCAATCGCACAGAAGCTCACACCCATACGAGAGGCTGCCACGGAAGTCGAAAACCACACCAGCCAAAGATGTCGGAAGTATCGTCACGTCGGGAAAATGCTGAACGTAGGGAGGCAATTAGCGAATACAATTATGGATACACAAGTACATCCGTAAAGCGAAAGTCGTGCCGTTCAGACGAAGCCACTGATACTTTCTAGACTTAAAGAAGAAATCCGATTTAGCTGGGGCCGATAACAATATACAGTCGGTCGGCTTGCCCCAGTCATTACAACGCTGACTGCGTAAATATGTCCTGCAGCGTATTGACGTCCGCGTACATTCTTTACCAAAATAATATACTTGTACATAAAGTGCAATACAATACGCAGTAGCAGTAATGATAAAAACCGGAATAAGCCAACGGCAGAAGGTCAGAGAGCCAGCAAACAGACGCTGTATGAGAAAGGAGCAATTGCCTCCATAGATACAATAGAGAAAAGCTATCGATTCGACATTCCAACAGCTACTGCAAAAAGATGGTGCACCGGGGAAGTCGCATTGCCTGACCAGACCTGTACGCGATGATGGCGATGAGTTCAATTCTAGCGTGTATAATGTATATCTCTGGACCAAGAGTATCACTATGCAGTTGTAGAGAGGCCAGGGGGTGCCTGTCACTCACAAACAGATATACACAAACCGTATCGAATAAAAATCTTATCTGGAGGTTGTGGCCGGCGCCGCAAGGTGTCGTCACCCGACGAACAATGACAGAAAACTATAGAAAAACCGCTCGTCGTGGTTTCACTGGGTTACTAACAACAAGTACAGTACGGATAATAATAGTATTAGTTAGAATTCTGTATATAATTTATA